TCCGGGAGCCAGGCATGTATAGAGGGGAGGAGTGGCAGAGATGCTGCTTTTGTCTGCTGTCCGGCAGCCTGTTGCTCAGGGGAGGGGCCAGCCTGTTGCTGGCATGGGGAGGCACTTTTCCTCTGCCCGGCAGCTCTGCGGGACCCCAGTCGGAGCCGGCCTGAGGAGGAGGAGGATCCTAGGACCCAGGTGAGCGAGCCCCGGGAATGCTGCTGCACATGTGCGGGAGTTGCCTCACCCCGTTTGTATCTAGGGATCCGACGTAAGTCGGATCCACGTAAGTCGGGGACTGCCTGTATTACATATACATAATCACCCAGATTATCATCAATACCACTTTAAGTAGTAAGACGATTTTAATGTACCAGATCATGTATTGTTTTCCCACATAGACATGGATGCACACACAACCCTTTTCCCCAAGCTGGGAAGGACAAATAAAAGCATGTGTTTTTTTTCCTGTATCAGTCTGATTTAAATACCATTTTAAAAAGGCCAAACTGACCCAGTCACTTGACCTCTTTTATAATTACTTTCAACTAACAGTTGTTACAAGAATATGACCAGTAAAAAACCATAATGGCTGGGGTTTTCAGAGAAGTTTGAGAGTCAGATGCTCAACTTCACTAAATTTTGATAGGCTTCAGACATTTGTTTTACTTCAGTGCCTTTCAAGTTCCAAGCCTACATAAACACCCATCAATAAAGGAAATGTTTGGGTGAAGCTACCTCAATTAGTATTCTTACAATGTTCTACTTAATAAATTAAGTTACAGGTGAACTTAGCCTAAATGACTGTCTGAATGATATTATTAATCCCAGGCCTCACAGGGCATTACAAAAAAAGGTAAATGTAAATACTGTCTTCATTTCAAACTATTCTTGTTTTAACAAGTGATGCAGAAACCCTGCTTATAGAAGTGTTTCCACCCTCCCCACTTTACAATTTAAGTTAAACTATTATCTTCACAGTGCATTCTTTTTTTATATATCACTAATTTGCATTGAAGGAAAGTGTCAAGTGTTTCCTCCCATCATACCTTGCAATCTCCTGATGAAAGTCATAGTCCTCATCTTCCTCTAACCATTCCATTGAACCTGTGGTTGGATTGGCCCTTCCACAGAACACCTTCATAATGGAGCTCAGTTTGTATTCTCTATGTATTATGAAGACAGTTTTGTGGAGTAGGTTTCAATTCAAATAACTGCAATTTTTGTCCTTTTATCAAAAACCTGTTTTAAAACAAAATACAAGTTAGATTATGATATATACTAACTCTTTATCCTCCCCAGTTTGTAGGCTTCATTCCTAACCATCTGATTCGTCACGTCCTTGCTCTGCCATCTTTTGCCTTGTTCTATTACACTCTTAACACCTATACATTTCTCCTAATTCTTTTATGCAATCTTCTTATTTAGGATTACTCAGTATGATGCACTTCTGTGAATACTATCAATGCCAATGCAGAAGATAAATATGTGAGCAAGTTTTTTAAACTATACTTAGTATAGGTTTACAGAGGGTCAGCTGGGACTCTCTGGTCTGGCAAAGGACCACAGATGTTCCAGGACTAGAGAGTTCCAATGGAGTGCTGGCAGCTGGGCTCCCTGCAGCTGGGCTGCCAGGCGTGACCCAGCTGAGCTATCTGGCAGACTGGGAATCCAGAATGTGGCAGCCTGGCGGTACCGGGAGCCTGGCATGTGGCAGCTGGGCTGCCTGGCGGGAAGCAAGAGGGGAAGGAGGACCAGCAGGGCAGCTGGGATGGCAACAGGGGAGGTTGTTAGCCAGTCCAGCGTTGGTGGTTGAGATCAGTAGTAGGGGGGCCTGATATAACCTCCCCTGGTCTGGCAAAATCCAGAGTGCCGGACGAAGGGAGTCCAACCTATAACAACACACTGTGCAAAAAGAAGACAGTTAGTCCTGACAGAGGTTAAAGAAAGGTACATGGACACGTATGAAGATGGAAACATGTAACGTCCTGCAGGGGATTATTTCCAGAGGTGGCATTTACTCCACTCGGTGGAAGTTCTTGAGCTGCGCCGATCCCTGCAGAGACTAAGCACTTTCCAGAGAGGCATTAAGAAACGTGACCGCGCTTCTCTCGGGGGTTGGCCCGGCGATAGCAGAAGGAAGAGCAACGCACACGCTCAGCCATCCAGCGGTTCGCAACCACGCGGGGTTACCGCCCCGCCTGGCAGCCCAGCTGCGGGAGCCCAGCGCTGCTCCGCGACTCCGGCCGGGAACGTGCTCAGCCAGGCCACGGCCCCAGCTGGTCGCGCGCCTCAACAGCCGCAGCGCGG